TAATGTTTTTAATATGCCTGTTCCAGAAAAGTTTACTATCCAGGGTTATTCCCAGATATTTCACTTCCTGTGATGGCAGTATTTTCTTTCCATCTAGATGGATTCTTTTCAAGTTTTTCAAACTTCGCTTTCTGGTGAATGGCACTACTGCGGTTTTATCTGAGTTAATACTCAGCCCGACAGTCCTGCACCATCTCTCAGCGATGCGCAGTCCTCTTTGGATAATATCACACAGGGTGCCTTCATGTTTCCCCCGTGCAATGATGATTATGTCATCTGCATACCCTGTGCAGTGTATTCCCGCTAGAGTTAATTCTTCCAGTAGTTCATCCACTACCAAGCTCCACAGTAGGGGGGAGATCACTCCTCCTTGTGGAGTTCCTTGCGTTGTTTTAACAACTACAGTTTTGGTACCTATCTCAGCCTCTGCTGTTCGTGTTGAGAGCATTTCCCAAAATCAGCGAATTATCTTACTGTTCACCCCTCTTGTTTCAAGAGATCGCTTGACGACCTTGTGAGGTATATTGGCAAACGCCCCTGCAATGTCCAAGAAGGCACAAAGTGCTGTTTCTTTGCTATCCAGGCTTGCCTGTATTAGCTCAGTTAACTGGTACAGAGCAGTTTCTGTGGATCTGCCCGCTCTATATGCATGCTGACTATCGTGCAGTGGTTTAACCTGTAGATGATTTACTCTAATATGGTTGTCAACTACTTTCTCCATCGTTTTTAATACGAACGATGTGATACTAACAGGCCTAAATGATTTGGGGTTAGCCCAGTCAGTTTTGCCTATTTTGGGTATGAAGATGACTTTCGCTCTTCTCCAGATGGTTGGTATATATCCCATCGCTAAGCTGCTTCTTGTAATGTTTAATAGATGGTGTGTAGCTATTTCCTGACCTTTCTTTAGAAGGGCAGGAAAAATCCCATCTATTCCTGCTGTTTTATAAGGCTGAAAGGTCTCAATAGCCCATTTCAGTTTTTGTTGTTATTACTAGCTTGGCAGTCTCCCAATCTTCCCTGCGAGGATTCAGGGTTCGGTCGGAGATACTTGCGTATCAATAGATATGCTACCTGGAAAGTGTGTATGAAGTAGGAGGTTAGCTCTCTCTTCATCTCCTTCCGTATAGCTTTTGTCAGGTTTCTTAAGTGCCATGTTGGGGATGGACCCACTCTTGGCCATAGCTTTGTTATTATCTAGCTGCATAAGTAGTTGAAGTGATGTTTTCGCAAAAGGACCTGAAGTCAGACCGCTTTGCCCTTATAATCTCCTTATTATACTCAGTTAATTTCTCGATGTAGAGCTGCCATTCCCCGCTGGGTTTGGCTCTGTTGAAGAGTCATCGGACCTCCGATCTAAGATTGGCCAGTTATTTGTTCCACCAGGGCTTGTTGTTACTTTTTTGTATGCCCTTACTTGTGGGGCAACTAGATTCATATGCATCCAATATTGCACCACTGACTTCCTTTGCGTACCATTCTAGATACAGGTGGTTCCTAGTCCTACCTGCATCTATTTGGTCCAGGTTGTCTACGAGATTGGTGTGGTATAGTTCCCAATCGGTTTTTCTTGGATTCTCCCCTTCGAATTTCAGTTTGGAGTATGATTCCTCCTAATTTGAACTCGATGATCCTGTGATCTGATAGGGAAGGTTCCGTTGAGACCCTCTAATCTTTCACGTAACTAGTTACACTAGCATTCCCGATTGTTAAATCTAATACTTCCGCCCGCGTTTTTGTCACAAACGTGGGGGTGTTCCCTATATTGAGAACTTCAAGATTGTATGCTAACAGGAATTCTAGTAAACACTCACCTCTAGTGTTAGTATTAGTGCTTCTCCATATCTCATTGTGCGAATTGGAGTCACATCCCAATAGCAGAAATCGCCGTTGGCTGCAGAATCGCGCGAGCTCCTCTACTTCCGGAGGCGGTGTCTGCCCATCACCCGGAAAGTATGCAGAGGCAATCACGATATTTTTGCTACAATCCTCGATATTAAGTTGAACCATGCTTGGAACAAGATCTCTCGTTGTTTCTTATAAGAATACAGGCTCGGGGAAATTCCTGCTTGTTATCATATATTACACTGGAATTTTTTTCCAAACAACCCTTTAATTTGTATCTGATACACCCAGGGTTCCTGGGCTAGTACCATTACATGTTGGTTTTTCTCAAAGAGTCTTGTAATTGTGGCGGAAGACCCTTTTGCATGGTGCAGGTTTGTTTGGGATATCCCATGCATCAGGTTTCTGGAGTATGTAAGGATCCCCCTGTTGTAGAGAGGACAGGGCATTTCCCATCCCCCCCTGACAACAGATGTTCCTCCTCCGAGGAGTGGTCATCAACCTCCTCCGAGAATATACACCCTTCCACGGTTCGAGTTTCGCCATCCGTGTCCTTCACAGTCGAGGAGCTTGTCTTTGCTTGTCTTGTCGAGGAGCTTGTTCTCCTACTTAACATACCGTATGATCTAAAAAAAACTGCGTCAGCGATAACTATGAAATGAAGATCGCTGTCATTTTATATGTAAAATTGTATGGGGAATGTAATCGATATTCATTTCCAAGCCAACTGGACGCCGTTTTTTTCGATCATTTGGTATAATACGGTTAGGAACATGCAATGTAATTTATTTTGATGTTAAATCTTGTCTTCTTTTAGTACTTAATACGTAAACGTACTTAATACGTACTTAATACTTAATACGTACTTTAAAGTAATCTAGTCTTCTTTTAGTACATCTAAAATTTAAGTAAAGCATCTTACTCATGGATCACTCATGTATATTATATAAATTAAAATCTCCCTAAAGCTGAGGCCGATATTTAATAGCGTCTGCTCTATTATTTAAAAGGTGTAAAATAGTATCTTATTTCCGCTCCATTTATATGTCCAAGAACAGCTGTTTTTAGTACGTTTTCCATTTTTTATATATAAGTAAAGAGAATGTTACTTCGTGGTACTTTGTGGTACCGCATTCCGGTACTGAAATCTTAGGACCGAACATCCCTATTCGTCCGTACCTGTATAAAACTACTAAGTAAAAAAATATACATTTACGACATTTTTGACGTAAAAAAGGTGGTAAAAATTACCACGAGTAATGGTTCTTCCACGAGTAATGATGTTTGGAATCGAAATTGTCAATACCTGTCGTCATTAACATAAATTAAATATGTTGACTAAATAGTTATTAAACTGAAATCATAAATTTGATTTTGTGTCAAATCTACATAGATCAAACATACTGGATGTTTTGTTGTGTTTTTATGTTAATTCAGCTTAAAAAACTTCACCCTAAACAAGCTGCTACATCAGGATTTATGTAAACAACGTACCTTGCTAAATTACAATGTTCTTCTAGTAAATCGATATGCCATCAAGAAGTGAAAATGATTGCGATAATCTTTTTTATGTAAACAGTTATCTCGACACCATTTTATGTAATTACTACAAGTGCAAATCCTCTTCGTTTGACAGTATACAACTCTGTTACTACAGTATTTATGTTTTTATGAAGCTCGTTAACAAATATGTAGGTCATGTTGCCATAACAATCGCCATTTGACCATGTGTTGTTGCAAGAATTCATATTGGAAAAGCAAATATAATGGTCGTTTCGTAAAATGAATATACATGAAATTTTGATTAAATAAAATTTAATGTCTTTGGTTTTGCGGTGCTAATGGTTGAGTCAAGCGAAATTTGTTGAAAATAATATATTACAAATTACAATAAATTATGAATAAATATACTCATAATATACATAGTAAAACATGTATTTATGTTATAATTACTGTTTGAAAATGATAACCAATGGTGGTCCAAACTTTATTTCGGAAACTTCGGCAGCATATTCTGCATATAAAAATAAGTAAAAAAGTTAGTATAAATGTATGACCTAAAATGCTTACTTTCGGAGATACAGGGTGGAGAAATTTCATTTTTATTTCGATTTTTTCCAAATAATTTCTAAAGTAACGTCAATATTTGGATGAAAATTGGTGTCTGGGAGTTTTTTAATATTAGAAATTTGATTTTGATGTCAATATGACTCCTATTTGTAAGGGACATGTGTCTCAACTGTTTTGAAGAGTAATAACTTTTCGTCCGTACCTGTATAAAACTATATAAAACTACTGACTAAAAAATATACATTTACAAAGTTTTTTACGTAAAAAAAATCTCTTGGTAAAAATCGCTACGAGTAATAGTTCACAAGATATTTGGAATCGAAATTATAAATTCCTGTGATCAGTGACATAAATTAAACATGTTGACTAAATAGTTATTAGACTGAAATCATAAATTTGAAACGTTTTTGTGTCAAAAGTTGAACAGAAACTGTTTTGTCATCATTTTTTGCAGAAAAAATTATGATTAATTTAAAAAAAATAAAAATTTCCCAAATTTATTTTTTCAGTCAAATAACTATCTACTCAAAGTGTTTATTTTTTTGTCAATAATGACATGGATTGACTATTTTCATTCGAAATATCTTAAGAACGGTTGCTCGTAACGAGTTACGAAGTTTACCAAGATACATTTTTTACGTAAAAAGTCACGGAAATGTATATTTTTTGACTCAGTAGTTTTAATACAAGGACGGACGTAAAAATTACTCTTCAAAACAGTTAAAATCTTTAAAACCTACAAATAGGAGTCACATTGACATCAAAATCAAATTTTTCGTGTTAAAAAACTCCCAGACGCCAATTTTCATTCAAATATTGACGTTACTTCAGAAATTATTTGGAAAAAATCGAAATAAAATTGAAACTTCTACACCCTGTATCTCTCAAACTAAGGATTTTAGGGCATACATTTATACGAACTTTTTTACTTATTTTTATCTGCAGAATATGCTGCCGAAGTTCCGGAATACAGTTCAGACCACCCTGTATATATTTTCAGTTTTAATTCTCCTTCTTGGAGGCTTCTAATTTCATAACATATACACTTTGCTATGGTTCATATTTTCATCAAATTCTATTTTTAGGATTTCGTCCAAAATTTATCTATTCTCTCACGAGGATCTTTAGAAGAAAAACTACGTTGGGCGTTTTCGCTATACGATATTAACGGAGACGGATATATCACTAGAGAAGAAATGACAGACATAGTCAGTTCAGTTTATGACCTTATGGGGAAGCTTGCCGAGCCTTGTATAGACGAAGATACGGTTAAAGAAAAAGTTGATAGGATTTTCCAAGTAAGTTACTAGATATTATTGGAGAAAAACTCTATTATACAGCGTGTCCGAGAAATAAGTGCAAGAATTTAACTGCCAATATAAATCAACCCCAGAAACACGCCCATAAGATTTTTTTGGCAAAAAAAATAAACTATAAAGATTTTTAAATCAGCTCATCTGTTTAGCCGATGAATTTTAGGTTATCCTATTCATTTGAGATTTTACTCAAAACAGTAAACCTTTGACAAAACTAAAAAAAAACAGGCAAATGTAAGATAAAAATACTTTTACTATTCAAATAGAAATATCAATTATTTTGGTGTTTTCTTACAAAAACAAGAGTGTGAGATAAAAAAAGAGAGGAGTTTAATTCTCAAAAAATAATACTAGATAATTCAGATGGCATATGAATACTTATATTTTGTGCCAGATACACGTGTGTATTTAAATATAGTGTCAAGAGTCGCAGTCAAATGAAGTGTTGTTAAGTGTAGACTTGCGGTTTTAGGTAAAGTGATAAAACGACGCTCTAAAAATTGAGGCTCTGAAAATTACATCGATCTGGTATCTATCAGAGTCTTCACGTTTAAGTGTTTTACTTTTAATCTGAATTTTTCAAGTCGGTTTTCAATCTTTCTAGTCAATGTGTCAACACTGGGCGTCGAACAAACTAAGATCCGGGTAATTGCTAGGTATTTGGGGCTTATTCAAAATCCATTCGGCGGCTCTCAAAATGTTGCCATTATTTTTTTGAATTTCAAAATTAAATAGCTCGGTTATTATTAATTTATTTTGAAAATGCCTTATACAATCAACCCTTAAAATACTTATTTCTGGGACACCCTATATAAAAGACATATTATTGTTTCATTTTAATGTTATAGGGTTCTTTATATAGTTATTTTATTATGTTAAGTTCTTTAAAAATAGTTGGGCAATAATAGTATAGATTAGTTTAAAAGAGCTATAAGCAGTAAACTATAGTAAACTATGAATAGAACAATTATCCATCAATACAAAATAATTATTACGAATGTAAGTCTGTTAAAGACGACTATAACATTATTTACGATGATTATAAAATAATGTTAAATAGACAAAATAACTGATGTCTACCTGTCTCGAAATTATGAATTGCGTCCACTAGAAATTACTTATTATATAGAAACAATAAATAAATTGTTAACAAAATTTCTTACTAATTTATTCTAGTGAAAAAAAATGCGTACTTATAAATATAGGCCAATTTTCTTTTTTTTTCATAATATTCCCTTTTATGGTCCACACTTCTTTTTGTTAATCGTGTCACTAAAATATACGCAAAACTATACATTTTTAATTTTTTAAATATTTGAGAGTTTTTTTTTTGTACAGATTGCAATTTTCATTAGCACAATTATCACAAGTTCTTATAGATATAAGACAGTAAAAATTACACTTATATGTGTTATTTAGATAATCAAAACAATAAGCTCACACTGTTTTCTAATATTTAGATGCTCAACCTTCTCTAAATTCAGGATTGGATATATTCCATTTTACAACCTTTATTTTTTATAAAAAAAATATATTAACAGTACATAATATAGATTTGAAACATAATTATTCATATGTTTATTCCAGGAAAATATATCTACACATTTTCTTCATAATGCCACTTTTTATGATGAACGTTTTTTTGGTGTTAATAACATAATAACACCAGAACATTCGACACCTTCATCATGCGTGGTGTTTTTATATTTCTTCATAAAAGTTTTTACCGCCATTTTTACGTGTCCAGCAAAAGCGGCAAAGCTCGTGATACGTCCCTGCTTGCCTCCCGGTGTTGGACGGCTTTCAATCCTGGCTTTTGTTAATATAATCTAATATATAAAATTTTCGTGTCACAGTTTTAGTTACCATACTCCTCCGAAACGGCTTGGCCGATTTTTGTGTTTACCAGTGTATTCATTAAGTCTGAAAATAAGTTATATACAGGGTGCTACAAATTCGAGGTACGAGCATTGGTATCTCGGTAACCGTAATAGATACGAAGATAGTTAAATTGGGGGAAAGTTGCGCCTTCAGATGTTCACCAAGATGCCATCAAAAAAGTTCTAAAAATTTCAAGGATTGCTGAGTTTTTTCGAAAAAAACGGATTTTTTTGAAAATCAATTATATTTTTTTCTGTCGTTACTTTCTAGAAAATCAAAAAACTAATTCCATATTCTCATAGCCACTTTATTAGGGCTATCTGATAGTATTTTTAGATTTTCAAATTAGAATTCAAAAGCCAACTTATATTTTTTAAATACGGAATTTTTTATTTCAAGTTTTGAAAGAACTCGGTCTCCTGAGTACAATGATATACCACACTTATACCTTTTTTGTTTTGGATGCCTTAACAACAACATAACTATTTAATTATTGTTTAAAATAATTTCGCTCTCTCAAGTCCGACTCTGGTTTTTTAAATTATTTAATCTGCTTATATTCATCGCAACAATATTGATCAGCGCTAATTAACATTGAATAAGGAAAATCGAGCCAATTGAAAGATTCAAATAAATAATATCCAGGTCAGCAATTTAAAGATATTATTTTTTAACCTTTTTTACTGTGTAGTTTCTAGTACTCTACATGTTCGAAAGGGTTATAACCATCCCTATTGCACAAATTTATTTTTCGTTTAATTTTATTTATGGTTCTTGGAACAGATCTTCTTATACTTCTCCGAATGCATTTTGTACCCTTTATTGTAAATGCTGAGATGTATTGATTTCACACACACATATTATTTATATTTTATCTACAACCGTTTAGTTATAACGTTTTTACATCACTATTTTTTTAGTATTTCAGTTACGTTATGAAATTCATAACACAACTAGTGATGTTATGAGATTCATAACACAACTAGTGATGTTATGAATCTATAACACAACTAGTTTTTATAATAATGAAAAACAACTACGATCATCTAAATATATTAACTTTTCCGGCAATAATGATTCCGTAGCACGTACTGCGGCAACTTCTACATCTGAAGGGAGACTTTCGGAATCGCTCATCGTAATTTTTAAAATGATTTTTCTGGGCAAAAAGTGCTCGCATTTACTTGACAGGGCAAACTGACTTTTCAGAAAAAAATGTGACAAATGTCATAGTTAAAGATGGGCGACTAATAAACGAAAATTAAAACAGCATTTTCTTATTTTTCGGTTGTAGATAAAACGTTGTACATGGCACGTGCGTTTAAACATGATTACAACACTTATGTGATTAGAACGACTCGGTCTACGACCTCGTCGTCCGTTTAACTTTTGCTGCAATGTTATATCTCTCCGTGTATGCAGTGCCTGCTAGCATTTTGCACCCTCTTATTATGTGTTCGATGGTTGCCTGGCATTGATGGCATTGTTGTTTTATTTTTCGTTAGTTCGTTTATTATTATTACATAACGAGAATAATGTGACGAAACTACTTTTAAAAGTAAGTGCTGTCAGATATTATCGTAAGAGACAGTTTAAGGAACAGTGGTAAACCGAAACACGAGACGGGATTTTATTTGAAATGAAAATACAAAGTAAATTTAATGTAGACTGCAGTACCTATATATATTGAACGTCGAGCACATATTTCCGAATAAAGAGAAATGGATAAGATATACACTCTATGTAACGTATAATAAAACTAGATATAGACTAGCGCTTGAGAAAAGCCTTGGAGCGAAATACTTTAAATCCGAACGTGTACTTGAAATGATACGGGTTTTTAGTTGATTTTCAGAGAAAGCTAGGAAGTATTTTCAGGACAAATTTAAATAGAACTATGTTAAAATTAAGTTATATAAATTGAAAACTATTTTTAATTACAAATATCATCTAATCGTAATAAATTTAACAGTTTTTAAAATAAGATAAAAAAATTATTAAGGTAGTTTTATTTTTTTACTAAGAGTGGATCTGTAGAACTAGATAGTTGTGTTGTACAATTAAATTTAAAAAATCGAACTCTACACAGTACGAATAATTTAATAATATATTTGAATAGTTTGTTCTAAAAATCCATTATGTACGTCAATTTTAACAATACTGTTATCCAAAAATTTCTAGGCAATCTATTTATGTTACTTTAATACACTCACGTGTAAAAAAACTGTGTTTTTTGCATCTGAAAAGCATTACAAAACAAAATTTTTGGTCCAGTTTCAAATATTATATTTTTTTTATTTTATATAAGCTGTATATAAATATATCAACTTTAATTCGAAAACTCAGTTTTTTATAAACTTTAGTATTTGACTTATTATACAGGGTTACTCGAAGAGTTATTTTTTACCCTATCTTTAAAACACACTTTGCAATAACTTCGTGAGCAAATATTTCGTAAAATATTAATTTTCGGTCAGAATCATTTCTCCTGAATTTTTTGTTTTTTGACTCATGTCAACATATGCCTTGGTTAATTTTTAAGAGCAAAATGAACAAACCAAAAATTGCTAGGTACAAACATTTTGCATTTTTTTCAATTATCATTACTTTCTTATGTTATTCTTGATAATGACGAGGTGGCTTTCGTGATCATTGTTGTGTAGGATTGAATATGGTTATTAGTGTCGAAGATTGTGCCAAAGTCATTGATCTCGTTGAAGATCGACCGGCCAAAATTATGAATATTCGCTTGGTCCTTGAAGAAGAATGGGAAAACATGACACAATATATATTTGCAGCCTCATTAACAGTATGAACCGACGCGACGTCTACAGATAGTTTTAGCAGCCGGTGAAAGCAATACAAAATTTACGTATTTTTTACAAATATTTTGTTTGTACACTTAGTTATTACAGTTTTTTTTATATCCTTAGTTCTGTTAGTGTTAATAATATTTATTAACAAGCCGTTACTTTTCGTTACTTTTTAACGTTTTTTTTGTAATTTTAATATAGAGTTCTAATCAGTGTCGATATGCCTTACGCCAATAGTCACTAAAGTCACCTCGTAATATTAAAAAATACCATCATAAGTTCATTTTGCTCTTAAAAATAAACCAACGCATGTGTTGACATGAGTCAAAAAACGAAATACTCAGGAGACATGGTTCTGATCGAAAAATAATGTTTTAGGAAATGTTACTAAACTTATGAAATTATTGCACAGGGTGTTTTTTAAGTTAAGGTAAAGAACAAGCCTTTAATTAGCCCTGTATAATAAGCCAAATATTAAATTTAAAAAAAAATGATAGATTTATATACAGTTTGCTAAAAAAATCATGAAAATAGGGATAAAAGTAAAAAATATTACAGTTTAAACTTGACGAAAAAATTTTGCGTTGCGGTTTTTTTGCATCTGAGTATATTTTCTGTACCCCAATTACCTCCAATAAGTTTAGGTATATTTTTATTTTTTAAAATTAATTTATTTTAATTTTATATTGGATTATGCACGGAGTAAGCTACAATTAGCTACTTCAAAGACATAGATAAAATCTTATTAATTAGTTTCTAAATTTATCAAGAGAAATATAATGAATATAAATAGCAATCTGTGAATAAAACACTGTAGTATTAATACCACGCACGCATGATCAAAAAATAGATCGATTTTTTAGTGCTAAGAATACCAAAAAAACGTTCACCATAAAAAGTCAAATTATGAAAAGTCCGTAACTATTTCTTAAGCTTTTTGTGTGGAACAAATAGGTAATTTTCTTTCAAATCTATACATATATTATTTCTATATATAACTTTTTTTATATTTTTATAATCCTGTTATCTAATTTTAATCTATACTAATATATGAAATCCTTAAGTGACTGACATACTGATTAATCACGCGCGATCCTGCTCAAACCACTCAATGTAAGAAAATTTTGGCATACAGGTTGATTCTAGGATGTAGAGGTTCGATAAGAAGGGATTTTTCGAAATTCCAGTTCCAAGAGGGTGAAACCACCCCCCAAATATTACAATATTTTTTATTTAAAAAACGGTCAAGTTTCCGAAAAAACGCTTAAACACGTATATTTTATTTTGTTTTTTTACATATTTTAATTTTTTTAAAATGTATACAGGATGTTTCGAAAAATCTGGTTATTGATTAATAACGATCCTGCTTAAAGCGCTTGACGTAAAAAGCTGATTTTTGGAAAACAGATTGACTTTAGGGTGTAGAGGTTCGATAAGAAGGGATTTTTCGAAACTCGAATTCTAAGGGGGTGAAACTATCCCTCAAATATTAAAATATTTTTTATTTAAAAACCGGTGAGTTTTTCGGAAAAACTCTTAAACACGAATATTTTATTTTGTTGTTTTACACATTTTAAGATTTTTTATAAATTTATACAGGGTGTTTCATAAAATATGACTTGAGTAATCACCATTGAGTAATCACGATTCTGCTTAAACTGCTTGACGTTTAAAGCTGATTTTTGGCAAACGGATTGACTGTGGGGTGTAGAGGTTCGATAAGGAGGGGTTTCTAGAATCTCAAATTCCAAGAGGGTGAAAACGCCCCTCAAATATTACAATATTTGTTATTTAAAAAACGGTTAGTCTTTCGGGAAACCGCTTGGACAAGCATAATTTATTTGGTTTTTTTTACATATTTTGAAATTTTTTAAAAAATTATACAGGGTGTTCCAAAAAGTTGGGTAATTTGTTAACTACGATTCTGCTTAAACTGCTTGACGTAAAAAGCTTATTTTTGGCAAACAGATTTTTCGAAAGTCAAATTCCAACGAGATGAAACTACCCCTCAAATATTACCAAGTTATATAATAATATCGCCATATGGTTTTTTCTCATGCTGACATAAATGTGAGAAAATTTTATCCAGATTATACATCAATTCGAAGTTGGTCAAAGAATGCCTGGAGAAGCTCAACAAATTAGGCAAAGAAAATAAAGTCCTCCTACTCTGGGTGCCTGCTCACCAAGAGATAGAAGGCAATGAAAAAGCAAATGATCTAGCTAGAAAAGGAGCGAACACTCCACTAACTGGACCAGAACCGTTCTGTTTTCCAAACGGGAACCAACTGAAAGCGGAACTGAACTCGTTATAACTCAAGAAAGGGGAACACACAATAGATCTATAAGGTCACGGTGATTAACTCCCCTCCTAAACATTCTACATTCTACAAGGATTTTGTCGTTGGACAGACTATAAATAAGTATAGGAAACCCTAATATAATTTGAAAGATCATTTAAATCTGCCTCGATTTATTTTAAAAACTACAGAGTGCTGCATTTGAAATAACAAAGTTTTTAAACAAAACAAATATTTAAAATAGATCAGCAATTTTTGCTACCCCTGTATAAATTTAAGGAAGCAATAACATTTTTCAGTAAAGTTTATTTCTCTACCTTTAAACTCAGCACAAGAATTAATTCTTTGTTGGTGTTGATAATATAATATATTCTATTGTAGCATGCATATTTAAATATCTTTAAATATCTCAAAAACCAAATCTTGTAAACATATTTAACCCTTATAATAAATACCTTGTTTTGGGCCCAAAAATCCAAAAATGAAATAAAATACCGTGTGTTCCATAAGAAAAAATATAACTTTGGTATGGATCTTAATTCTGAAAGACCTTGTATATTTCAAAATAAGTTTAAATTGTGCACATTGCCTCCTCACATATACCAATAAAATATTTTGTTTCTACATCTTTCAGGTACAGAGAAGGGGTGAAAAATATAAATAAAGTGTTTTTTGTCAAATTTTAGAAAAACGGTAAGGACTTTGAAAAAAATGTTTCAGTAAAATTTGTCTCCTAGCTTCTAGCCACCCTATCTCGGTTAATTTTGATTTGATGAAAAAGTAGAGAGACTTTAATTTTCGCTTTAAAGTAAAGTATGTCCAACGAGCTAGTTAAGAATATCATCACACGACATCCAGACAATGATTTACCTCAAAGAATATAAAATTTTCTTGTAAATTAAAATGACGGACAACGCACTGTCGGGTATTCACTCGTTAGACAAATTTTACATAAATAATATACATTTTGGACAAAGTCCGGAATTCAAAACTCACTTTTTTACTCCGTAAGTTCCAAAAACTAGTATGAAAACCGTATATACAAATGAAACAATATTAGAACTGTTTTGGGCGTATTATTCAAAATTACTAAATATTGTATTTTATATTTCAGAAAATGGACAAAAATCAAGACGGTGTCGTAACGTTAGACGAATTTTTGGAGTGCTGCAAAACGGACAAGGATATTTCCGCGTCCATGACTGTTTTCGACTCATCGATGTGACATTTGGCTGTCGGCGTCGTGGACACACGAACATAATAAACATAGACATAAACAGATATTTGAATAGGGTATTCTGCTAACCCAGGATAATCAAATAGCAGAACCCTCTATGGCGCCAGCAAACTCCGTTAAATAGAAATAATAGGATACTTGCTGCTATACTTAGTTTTGTGTTTTAGATAACAATAAAAATCGTATTTATTTATTTTTCTTTTAAGATAATTTTGAGATAGCAGAAATAAAATATCGATACAGGATGTATCATCATTGGGTGGGATATTGTAAGTCCCAATTATAAATGGACTAGATTATATTAAGTTCCATATATCTAGTTCCTTATATTATATTATTTGAGTTCGTTATGGCTCTGTTTTACCTTGGATCAATAGATGTTACTAACTATTATAATTGATTAAAATATAATGTAATAAAAATAAATAAATTAATGTAATTTCTCAACAAAACACAAAAATTAGATACGCTACTGAAGTAACTAAATAAAATTCAAAAAATTTATGTATCGTTCTCTTATAAAGTTATCAATATTTTTTATACCGGATGCGCCTCAAAAGTGGGTCACCTCTACTATAACGTTTTTATTTTTGCAGATAAAAAAATGAGATTTGGTATGTTACTATACGACATAAATTAGGAGTGATTGATATATTAAATTGTTTTTGGCCACTTCCTGTTTCACCGGAAATGACTACAACTTTTGATTTTTAAAAGGAACCCTCGGTATATTTTTACTTTATTCGATAGAAAATGACACTCTGAATAGAATGACATATCGTATGTCAACTTTTGACATTGTCGCTTAAAAAGAAATCGTATTTTATATTTCAATCCAGGATATCATCACTGTGCCAAACAGTAATTTTTAACAAGGAGCCTTGGAAAAATAGATTTGATCATCAGAATCTAATGTTTTTCGTGTCTTGTCCTGGTCGGTTAAAAGATGCCCAAATCGTTTTTTTTTATTCATAACTCATTTTTTTAAATGGAACAAGGGTGGCTCATTAGCATATTTGGGAAAAGTATTTTTTTAAGAATAATTTGGAACCACACACTTGTTATTTCGAGTCAAATTGTCGTTATTAACCGTCATTCTATTCAGAGTGTCATTTTCTATCAAATAAACTAAAAAAATACCGAGGGTGTCATTTAAAAATCAAAAGTTGTAGTTATTTCCGGTAAACCAGGAAGTGACTGAAAACAATTGAATACGTCAATCAGTCCTAATTTCTTTCGTATACTAACATACCAAATCTCGTTTTTTTCTTATCTCAAAAAATAAAAAAGTTATAGGAGTGAGCCAGTTTCGAGACGCACCCGGTATACAACAACATTTAATAAACAACGATCAAAACAATTATGACAATGGCTCATAAACGAATAAATTATTATGTTTTTTATTGAAAATTAGGGTTTCCATACGTCCGGATATACCCAGACATGTCCGACATGTCAAAAAATTTTAGGTGTCCGGTGTAGTCCTGCCGGATTTTAAAAAAATGTCGGGGAAATCTAACCATAAAAAAAACTTATAAGAAGAAGAATATGTTATGATTATGATGTCACATATCTACTAAACCGACATTGTATGAAAGTACCCATATCTATCTGGTCAATTTTTTTTATTTTCGGTGCACCCGTGTATGTGAATTATTTTGTCTTTATTTTGTTGATTTATGAATATAAGTCTCTCCAACGCAACGGTCCAAGAAGGTGACATTTGTTTCTGTCATTTTAATTCACAGGTAAATTGTATTATCTGTCATTTTTTGATTGATACCTGTCGAAATCTTCTCCCACTCGTTGCATAGATAAATGCAATAAGTTTAGATTGGAAAGCCCGTAAAAATTTTGGGTCGCGACCGTTATACGCGATCTGGCGCTGCTATAGCGGTCGCTAAGAACAATGGCAAACAAAAACAGAAATAATTTTCTCTTGTCAAAGTCAGAATCTTCAAAAATCATAAAATCTTTCAAAATCTAAACCGCTCTCATTAAAGAAATTCCGAAAAGTGTTTATAGCGTCCATTTCAAAGTTATTATTGCTAAATAATAACTTTGAAATAAAATAAATAAAGAAAATAAACCGCTCTCATTAAAGAAATTCCGAAAAGTGTTTATAGCGTCCATTTCAAAGTTATTATTGCTATCTTGTGAGTTTAATTCAAGTTTTATTTACTCCAACCGGTGATAATTGTGAAAAAGTGGCATTAAAAATTTAAAAAGCTGTGCTGTGAACTGTTAACTGCAAAAACCATCGAGGATCGTGGCATAACGTCGGTTTCCAATGTTTCATAGATATTTCATACATGTCCTTATATAAAATAAAGTTTCTTGTATGCAACACACTCTATTTCATTTATAAAATTAAAAGAAAATAAAAATAAATTTGAATAAACAATATTTGGCGATATAATTCCGGAAAAAGCCGAACCGCTCCGAAATTTTCAAAAGTTTTGGGTCGCAACCGTTGCAAGAATAGCGCCAAATAGTGTTTACATTGTCCTTATGGACACTTTCCAATCTAAACTTGTTTCATTTATCTATGACTCGTTGGACAAATTTTAGCTCTTGCTAATTGTATATGCAACGGATAAATTAGTTTGGAAGTACCGGAATATAACGTGCAATATTTAATTTTACCAATAAAATTAAGCATTTAATAATGCCAAAATGAAAGTGTGTAGTGAGTAATGAAATGCTTTTATTAAACTTTTCTATTATAAAAAAATAATCCAATTCTGATGTCATCTGTAACGTATGCAGACCAATCTTAGTATTACTTACAAATCAAGAGAGTAATAAAAATAAACTTAACACTTTTGAACTGGCTTCAATTTCCCCTTTAAAGTAAAGTCTGTCCTTCTGTCCAACGCGTCAGGAAAGAATATCGTCAGACGACATTCAAACAATGACAGAACATACAATTTACCTGTGAATTAAAGTAACAGATAACTCCCACTGTTAGACATTCTCTCGCTAGACAAACTTTACATAGCTAAATAATTTTATAATTTATTTATTATGTCCGGATTTCAGAGCTCACTTTTCCAGAATTTCCAAAAACCTGTATGGAAACCCTATTGTAAACGAGTGTCCATCTCTTGACATTGTTTTCTCCAGAACAATTAGGAAAAGCAGCAATAAAATTGAATTCCAATAAAATAAACTTAGAATTCCCAATATCCTCCCCAACAAAGCATCACCCTGTATATATAAAATATAAAATCATATTAACTAACTTCGACCAATAAATCATTGTCACCTCTTATGAATATCAGGTTATGAGGAAAGAAGCCGCAGAAAAAAGTAAATAGAAAAATGGCTCAATCTGGCTCAATATATTTATGATTACTGACATAACCGGATAGTTCTTAAGAGTAGACAGCTTTAAATAAGTGATAGAATTGTTATAGAGCGTCGATTTAATGAAATATCGAAAAGAATTATGTATCTATTTTCGGATACTATTAACATAAAATATCATAAACATCCGCATATTGCTTCATTACTTTAAGCAATATCAAACGCATAACCAAGAACAAACTTTAAGCTGGTTAGTGTATTAATGTAATAGGCTTGGTGCATTTCAGTTGATTTAAAAAAATTCCGACCGCGGCGCTGTATACGGCAGAAATCAGAAGTTTTCGCTTTGTATTTCACGCCGTCCCGGGTACAGTTCATGTTGATTGCATTAAAATAATATTGAAATCGTGGCTGTGTCATAGTATTTTAGTTTTTTACTAGTGCTATTCAGGTACGAGGTTTGTGTGATGTAACGGTGTTTCGGGTAGTAAAAAAAAATGAGTGAAAAAGAGTTCGAACTAGACGTTGTGTTGTGACAATTTCACATGTTAATAAAATAGCCGAAAAAATGTTCAAGCGTAAAGGAGAGCGTAATTAGAGTGTTGTTGGGTGCAATAAGATTCACTAACTCAACTTTCCCGGGTATTCAACTCTCCCGGAACAACATTTTATAGCTTCATAGTTTCTCACACCCATTTGATTGTAAGCAAAAATGGATTCAAGCAGTTCGATGAAACAAGTGAGTAATAAGAAATATACTATGAGAGGATAAAATATAATTTGCAATATTAATGGTATGCGTTTTTTAATCAACTAGTGATTAAATGTTTTAAGAATATCTCCCAAAATTATAATTATGTACCTTTAAAAAATTTCGTTATAGCCGAAATAGAATCAATTATTATGACCCCCTAGCAAAACCGGTGCGTAAAACTATGCTCGCTACCATAGTTGAACTCATCTAAAAAGTTTATTAGCTGTAATAATAAATTATAATACAAATTAGACCTTCAGAAGATATCAAAATATTTATTTTTTTTTTATTTTTATTTTTAGAATTTTCACAAATTATACTTCATAACACTTTTAGAATAATTATATAATACATTTTTCGTATACTCGCTATTTAAAACCGTGTATTTATATAGGCACCTATACCAGTTGTTTACGATATTCCCCGATAGTGGCAGCACCGGCGGAGAATGCACCAAGCCTATAGTGAAAACGTATTTTTTAAACCGCCTATCTTCAGTCCACAATTATTTCTCTATGTTCTTATAAAAATCTACGATTTTTACTACAAATTTTTTATACAATTACATAATAATAGGACTGTTCTAATTCTACCTACCGAGACCTATTATTTTACAATGACAACATTTTTTAATACTTATCTTTCATGACTACGAAAAAAATATTACTTACATTTATTAAATTATTATAAAATATTTATTTTTAACGCCACTATTTAAATGCGTTACAACGTCAGACAAATAATACAAATATTTTCCAAATATGTCTATGATTATAATATGTTCAAAAATATAAATAAATAAGAAATAACATTAGAATGGTTATTTAAAAAAAATCTAATAACGACATCATAAATAAATAAATGGCATAAATATGATATACTAAAAAATACTGTTAAGATCAGATCATAAAATGTTCCTCGTACATTTCTCAAACTGATATAAATACACAACTTTGTTTTATTTGTGTATATTAAAATATAAAACTAGTATTATCTACATCTATATTAGAATATATCGAACTTTGTGAAAACAAAAGTATCATTTTGTATATTACAGACTAATTAAACAGTTAGTTTATAACTAAAATAGTAACTATATATTGTATATATTTCATTCCAATTTCTAAAGAATTACTTCCTGGATTAAAAAATAAGAACTGTGTTAGTTATAAAAATATAAATTCTTCCTTATAAATTCTATAATACTCACCACCAAATAAATAGCTTTCTAGAAAACTTAACTGTTTTAATTACAGTATAGAATTTAGAAACTGTAATTTCTATTAGGTTTCTAATGTAAATTGATGTAAAAAAATAAATAATCTTATACATTCTCAGCAAGATCATAAATTACAACTAAGAAATATTTCCAAAATATACAATTTCTGTATCGTTCAAATTATCCACTTCTTATCTAAAATTTAGCACCAAAAAGTGTAAGAAACGGCTTCTATAGAGTATCAAATAAAAGTGAATGTCGAATACATTATGCTTAGATTTATTAGCAAACAGAAATGTAAAAGG